TATTTTGTCCTTATTATTGTCCTCGGATATATCTGAATTATCTGCGCAGCATTGGCAGGTGGTTTTGGAGCTGGTCTCCCTTTTCTCTGTGGTCGAGTTGGTGGCTGAAGGGGACTGATGCTTCTCACAGTTTCATCACTCCTAGCTGGCGACACACTACGAATTCTAAGACCATCCGTAATCAAAGAACTTTCTTTAGACTTTTTGAACACGAAATCAAACATGCTTTCTTTGGTTTGTTGTCGATATCGTTCTTCTTGCCTCTGCAATGCCATTATATCTTGTGTACTTATTGACTCCGAATTTCTAGTCTGCTTCGCATATAGAGTCACTTCTTGTAAATGATAATCCTGTAGCGACAGCGAAAGATCCAATATCTCTTCTAGATTGACTAAAAAAAATAGATATTATTAACGTTTTAAATATGTTTCGTATCAATTAATATTATGATAATGTTTGATAATTACAATAACGTTAAGATAAATAAAGTAACTTTTAATAATTATAGTATTTCACATAAGATTGTATTAAATAATATTTTTAACTACCTCAGCAATATTACAGTGTATTATTTTATTATTAAGTAAGTTAATTTAATAATAATTTTAGATAATACTATTTTGGAGAAAACTCTTATCCATGTTTATTTATTTAACTGTAAATACTAATATTAGGTAAAGATTTAATATTAAGTTTATAATAAATAGATAACGCCCATAAATATTTTGACAAATTGTTTTTCAGACGCAATCCTAAGCATATTTAAATTCTGAGAATGTTTAGAAAATAAAAGTAGATTAATAAATAAATTTAACTTTAACATAAATTTCCTTGTTATACACACACACGCGCGCGCGCGCGCACACACACACACACACACACACACACACACACACACACATTATTAATATTGCTAATTTTATATATATATATATATATAATAAACACACACACACACACACACACACTATTATTAGTATTATTATTTATATATATATATATATATATATATATATATATATTACCGTGATCAAAAAATATCGGGATTGACTGTCATTATCTTTCTTAGATTACAAATAAATGTTTGTTTTGTGATTGAGAAAAAGTACTTTTGGTGATTTTTAACATGTTGAATTTTGTTGAACAAAAAATTTGCATAATTTTGTCATTAGAACGAAATTTCGTGTACAGAAACAATGAACATGTGATGAGTGTATATCTAGAGTGTATATCTAGAACAAGGATTTCCGAATGATATAAAATGTTCAAAGAAAACAGAAAACGCATCGAAGACGAAGATCGCTTTGAAAGACTTTCCAAACAACAAGATAAGCAACCACATCCAAGAATTCAAAGATTTAGTTGTAAAATTTTGATTTTTATTATAAAAATTTCTAAAGTTGTAGATAAAATTGTTTCCAGAGAATCTAATGATCTGATAGTTTCTTATAGTTAAGCAGTGTACCATTATCATTATATTCAAGAATTAGTTTACACTTTTACGTGATTTATTGGTCAGATATCTTTCTGGTAATTTTTATAAGTTTTAAGAATAGGAAAATATCATAATTTTAAGGGAAAAGTACAAAATGAAGCTATACGGACGCAAGAAACTTTTTACATGTCACTTCTCGTTTCTGACGTAATAATTCAATATGGCTGCAGCGAGAGAATCGAGCCTTAAAAGATGAATATTTATTTAATTTATGCAAGCTACAACTTGCACTAAAAAAATTTTTTAAAAAAGAAATTTTTATAAAAAATTAAGATTACCTTGAATTTTTTAAGTAGCACTATATAATTTTCTTTCCATGTTGTAGAAATATTGTTATAGAAATTTTTAAAACAAATTCAATGCAGTTTGTATATATAATCAGAAATGTAAAAATTTAATAGTAATACAGTCTACTTGTTACATATGCTACACATGCTTCGAAGTATTTGTAGCATCAAGTAGACCACATTCATAGTATTAAAAATATAAACTTAGTATGTTATAATACATAATTAAATTATTTTATTTAATTTACATTATTATTAAATAATATAATACAATATGTACATGATTACATTACAGTTTGGAATACTTTCCTTTGCTTAATTACAACATTATAATTTTACTTTTATTTATTTATTTGTGCAATTTTGTTAAATTTATTAGGTCTAAGTGCATTTTTATTTTGCAAGTATTTACCTGGATGGCGAAGCTCGTACTTGCTTCTATCCAGATTCTTTTCACGGCATACTTCGTCCAGGATTTTTCCAAGATTCATCTTTGGACTGACTCTTGACACGTACAACTGATTTCTCGGTAGATGAACCTGCGCCGATTATTGATTTATAATATATTGTCTCATGGATGTTTTATAGAATTATATGAGTGAATCATAAATATTTCATGAAGTTTTCATGAATGACATATAGAGGTTGACTGAACTTTTATAGATTCTTTATAGATGACTATTTAATTGTATAATAATCTTACTAAACACAAAAAACATATTTCGCTAAATAAGTCTCTTGTATTCTCTTATATTTAATCAATGATCATTAACAAATATATAAACGATACACACGCACACACATGAATTTATAAACGATTTTTGTACAAAATATGAAATCTCACACAACTCTCTACGTATTTATGATTATATTATCCATAGAAGTAAGATGCATGTAGAATTGCCATATTAAAATTTTCAAAACTAGGATTTACAAGTCAAAGACCCCGGACATTTCGATTGCAACCCCGCACAAATATAAAAACGTGTGTAAATTGATAAAATTGATTAGAACAGTAAATGAATCATTATTTCACATTTAATTGTTCATTAACATTCAGAGCAAAGAGAAATTTTAACTGGAAAATAAATAAATACAAACTATTTTTATTTAAAATAAAAAAGTTTTATTATAGGTTTAATTTAAGTTTTATTAGGTATTAAAATTAAAAAATTTTTACTCTTTTATGTGATATCTGTGCTATTTATGATTATGGTAATGCAGAGTGATGTGTGCGAGAGGAATCAAAACAAAATATTTAGAAGATTTCCTGAAACCCCGGACATTTTCAAAAAATCCTCTCGGACGTCTCCGAACATCCTAAAAAAAGAGGACAATGTCCGGGGAAAAGAGAACGGATGGCAATCCTAACAATGCATGCGTAATCATTATAAGATAATCAAGCATGATATAACATATTGAACAAACTAAGGCATATTACATATGTTTTTACATATTTACCGTACATTTGCTAAGTTCGAAATGGAACACAATCACAAATGCAGCAATGTGATTAATTATACATGCAATTAGTTGACAAAATTTTAGAACAAAAGATCAACAGTAGTAGTACTTATATTGTCGGCAACATGACAGCAACATGTCAACAATGATTAGTTGTTCCATCTCGAACATCATGATGAAAATATGATGGCAACAAAACATATATAATGATTTCCATTTGTTATTGCGTATTTGTCTTTAAGCTGTTACGTTTTTTAATTGTAACTCATTGCTAATAAAGTATTGACAATATAAAATGTCACACATTTCATGACAACTTTTTAATAAAGATTGCACGTTTATTTAATTATCAATTATCGATAATAATTACGAAAAATTTATTCGAATTTTTTCTTACCTGTAATCTAAACGTCGTTTCGAAAGGTTGATTGACTTGTTTTATTTTTCGTACGCATGTGGTCTGCTTAGGAAGTAATTTAACCTGAAATATACAAAATAGAATAGCATAAGTTTTAATTATTTAACAAATTTTTATTGATGTATTAACTATAAAAATCTATAAAGATAATCTATTTTTCAGCTATATAAATTACAATACTCGCCATAAATCGGTTCCTTCCATAAGAAATAAAACAAAATAATGTAATATTTATAAATATTTTTATTTTTTAATATTTTATATCGTTTTATATTATTTTATAATGTTTTTCCTTAATAACACAGAAGATTTCCTACAGAGATATTTCAATGTCTTGATTGAAATTTTACATTTAAAATCATTCTGCCATTTTTCAATATTACAAAAGCAAGTTTTCTGAGTTTTCTTTTTACTTAATAAATGTGTGCGCATATTGTATTGTTATAAAGCAGTTGTCGGGATAGTATATCCATATATAATTTTAATATATATGAAATGAACATATTTGGTTGCGTTCGGTTACACAAATCAGAAATCCCTAACAGCACGCGTACGTTCTGAATACATTGTAGATTAATCTGTACTAAATATTAAAGAAAATAAAATTTTGCAGATCAAAAAACGACATTTTTTATGAGTATTCCTAATATTTTAAGCAATATAATTTTATAAGCACGTAAAAAGTGATAAAAAATATTAAATAAATCATATATAAAAATTGTCTGGCAAACCTTATTCATTATTTTGTGAGATAAAATTAAAAGAAAAAAAAAATCTTCGATATTGATCGATAACACTATAAAAATCTTTTCTTGCTATTTGACGCCAGGCAAACGAGAAGAGAAATGTGTTGTGTTGTGTGCATATCAAAGTCATGAATGTCAATATAACAAAAAAATATATAATTCTATTAAAAAAAAAATAGCAATTATAAAAAAATCTAATGCTTCCATCTGGGAATGAATCAATATTATGATCGTATGGTCGAAACCTTACTATTGATGAAAACATTTCTTGCTATAATTCCTACGATTTCGAGATAATAATTTGTAACGCCATAAATGTTCTAACTTGTATAAAAATTACATTACCTGAAGAACGTCTAATGCTCCTATAGGAGTGTTTGGATGATGAGGTAGAATTAAGCCACATTCACCGATCGCTTGTAAAGTATAACTCGAAGCCATCAATTTGTGGGCAGTTGCGATTTGTATCAGAAGGTCCATCATTGGCGTGCTATAAGTAATCATATTAATGGGTCCTTTTTAATTCATTCATATTAATAAACATATACCACGCACACGTACACGACATGCGCACGCACGTAAACACACAACGCGCATGTACACACACACACACACACACACATATATATATATGGATTCATACATACGTGATATATACTCACCAATAACATTATCGCATAAATAAATTTAAAACTATGTCAAAATTTCACATAACTTCAAACAAGAATAACTCAACAAAATTACTATATTTGAATTTTTTTTGCATTCTCAAGGATAAAATCTGTACTTTAAGCGTTTATCAACGATTAAAGTTATTCTTGCAAGATAATTTATCCGTATGTCTGTCCGTCTAGGTAATATTTTAAGTTTGTGTTATCCACCATGTTAGCGGATTATTAGTTAAGAACGCTCTAGTTTAACATGTTCCAAAAAGTAAATAAATTCCTTTCACGTAATTTTAAATATCAAGAAATAAATAAACTTTATAAGTTGTAGACCTAGAGCCCTAGAGGTTAATTAAGAGAAGTTATCATTACAAAAAACAGGAGGAAGTTATCATTACAAAAAACTGGGATTAGATTGGAACGTGACTAACATCCCTGATCCAGCTATCACAGTTATCGGATCAATTTTTCAAGTTGGAAATTAGAATAGAATCTATATTGGAAGAAAAGGGCGTGAAAGAGCTTGTGACAGAAGGTGGAAAACCGTATAAACCGGTGGAAATACCGTAGAAGAAGTCAGTATGGACAGATAAGAAACGATACAAAGAAACAAGATGCTAAAGCATGGAATATATTATTATAAAAAACGATGGGTTCCTTTATTAAAAGTTTACACCTCTAACCATTGACCTAGAAGAGCTTCAGGATTGTCGTTCCATGCCTCACTTATCTATTTCAATTCATTGTTTCGAGGTTTTGGATAATAATACCTTCTTAATACTGTAATCCTTTGCGTACGAAGATGATGATTGGGAGGCAATTGAATCAGAAGTTCCATACTTCCGGTTAACATATCTGCCGGAGTATCCTCGGTCACAGTAAGAACCATTGTGGTTGAATTTTCTTCTCTGGTCCTGAAATAATATATTATTTAATTATATAACTGAGATTTAATAAATAAAAATTGTTATGATAACAGCACTATTGCAAAAATGTAATAGTAAACGTATTCTTTCTTTAAAACTTTCCAAAACAGTATAATAAAATATTTTTTTAGCAAATACTTTCTGAGTTATGAGGCTTAAATTTGATATGCAATTTGACATAAAATATTTAAAGTAAATATTTCGTAGACTATTCATTTTTTGGCAACTAAATAACATTCGTCATGACATATTGCAAATCTCCATTTTTTTAAATAGTAACTATGGATTTTCTTTACATCAATTTGATTCATCTCATTAATTTAATATTCTGTGCATAAAAGTATTAAGATATAGTTACCAAAAAATTAATAGTTTACGAGATATTTTATATTTCATGTCAAGTTACATATCAAATTCAAACCTTATGACTCCGAAAGTACTTGTTAAAAAAATACTTTATTATACTGTATTGGAAAGCTCTCGAGGTAAGTTACAAAAATATGTAATAAAAAATTAAAGTTCCCGTTTAAAAAAACAAAGTTGACCTTTACAACACTAAGATCATACTGATAAGATCAGTAAATCTGTTGAAACTCTATAATTTGCCGTGTGACATTTTTTTCTAAAATGCATCCTTGACAAGTTATTTTACTATTTCTATACTTTTAAGAACTCTGTATATATAGTTCATATGTTGAAAAATGAAATAGAAGAAGGCTTATGGTATCAAAAGAAACATATTTATTTTATCATATACTATTAATACTCATTTTGCTATTAAGTATTTAATTTATATTTTAATTATACAAAAAGTCAAAATAATAGTTATGTTTTTCACTAATGTCTTTAAAATATACCAGACATAGTTGTTCTTTAAATATGAATTACTATGGGTCTGTGACGTTAATACATTCTATTATTTTTTAATATACAAATAATAAAGAGAGTTTCAGCAACACTTTTCATATTTCTACATAATTTCTTATAAATATTAAAACAAGTTCAAAAATTTGATTTTTATTTAAAAAATTATTTTTTATATAAAACAAATAACAATAATAATTTATATAAAAAAATAAAAAATGGAAAAAACATTCACAAATCTGACATAATATTTCCCTCTCTAAAGTATAAGAACACAATAAATATTATCACTTTTAAGTATTTTCTATCAGTTTTATTTGACATTTACGATTGAGTTTAACTTAAAATGAAAATTTTAACCATCTTCAATTTTTCATACAGTTTAAATATTATACTGAGCATAATACTCAGAGAAAATAGTGAGAATTTTACCGTATTTTAACGATTAAATTTATTTTCAATATAGAATGTTAGAAAAATAATCTATAAAAATAATCTAATTCGATTGCCTATATCGCTAATTAGCAATAAAATATAGAATCTTCTGATTGGTCTACTGGAAAATTTCTAAGCACTGATCGATGTGATAAATGTACGTTATCAGAAGGTGCGTTATCGAAATTCTTCCGTAGATTGATAAGAAACGATAATGTCTCTTTCGAAATATAAAAAATAAAATAATAGTTTACAATAAGAAATGATAAAATTATTTATCATATCAAATTTTATTTTTTTTACTTTTTTTTAACAAGAATACTGTGCGATTTACTTAAATTATAAAATCGATTAAATTTCCTTTGATATATTTACATGAAAAAGGAAATTTTCATCTCTACAATAAATCTCTGCAATTGTTGAAATTGTTGCTATTGTAACAAAAAAATTTGCAACTGTGTTGCAACTATATTTTTTGTTCCTCCATTTGTTGAAAAATTGTGTGTCAATTCTTTTCTTATTTATACATATTTTGAATACATTAATTGAAATGATAATAATGGAAATAATAGATAGCGGAATTAAAAATATTGATAATTTATCAACATTTTTTTTAAATAAGAATGTATTCTTATTAGAGTTCAATCTTTAGTCAATCTTAGAATCCTTAACTACAGCTCTGAGCCTTTAGACTTCAAAGTTTTAATCAACTGGCGTTTTTGTACAGTTTCTAAATTGCAAATAAAAAATTTAAATTTTGAAAAAAAATTTGTCACTCTTATTACTGCATTATCCTCTATAAAATATATTTATATGCTATGATTATATTAAATACAAACTAAAATTTTGCTATTTTACAACAAATATATATTAATACACAA